AACGTTCAGCTACCCCCCCCCCCCCCCAATCCAGCCTCACTGCAAGGGTTAAATGCTTGTAAAGTTTAGGGGGTAGAGGAATAACTCCCCTTACTCCTCACTGACACGCTCCCTTCTCCATACAAAGCCTCTCCAGCGCTCCGGCCGGCACTCTGACATCATCACATACCATGCAGGACAGCGATGGCCCACCCACTTGCACTATAGGTGGTCATGGAAGGATAAATCTAATCCAGATTAGAATGGGGCAGGGCTTCTGGGTATGGGGCAGTATGTGACCTCACCTCTATGATGTTCTGGGGCCTGAGTAGCCAATCGCCAGGCTCGAACACTGTCATGTGATGAGAGGGTCAGTGACGTCATCCACACAGTAAAGCTCTGACCCTTGAGCTGACACAGGGGTAGCCTCCCGCAGCGTGGATGGGGTGAGTATTCCTTACTGGCGGGGCCCGGGCATTCAGAAGGTGCTGTGAGTCTGCCTCTAGTGGTCGGGAGGAAGAATTGCATGGATGTGAATGTTTTGCTGACGTGTATGAACCATTACATACGATTTGTAGATTTGGATATTTGATGACACCGATGTGCACGAGCCCCCAGACTTCTAACATGTGAATATCTCCGTGTAACACGCTATCGGCGGTTCTCTTTTTTTTCCAGATCCGTGATGTCTTCCAGCCGTCAGATCCGGGAGTTCCCCTCGCCGGCAGAGCTCGCGCTCTCTCTGTCACAGCTCCTGGTCCACGAATCCCGGGGCAAGAGTACCTTCCGCCTGGGACTGTCCGGAGGGAGCCTGGTACAGCTGCTCAGCCGGGAACTGCCCAAAACAGCCGGGCTCAGTACTGAGGGCTGGAAGGTGGCCATGTGTGACGAGAGGCTCGTTCCCTTCACGGATCCTGAGAGCACGTATGGAGAGTATCTGGTATGTAGCCGTGTGCGGTGGATGAACTATTGGGGGGACTTGGGTTCTGTGTCCACCATAGCAGCCAATCAGGTCACATCTGTCACATGTCCAAACTAAATGTTACTGCAAATCTGTAGTCGGCTACACTGACCATAGGAATGTACATGACCAGTGTAAGCAACCTTGGCACTCCAGCTGTTGTGAAACAACACATCCCATCATGCCTCTGGGAGTCATGACTGTGAATGTCAGAGTCTTGCAATGTCTCATGGGACTTGTAGTTCCAAAACAACTGCAGTGCCAAGGTTGCCCACCCCTGCAATAGGAGGGGGGCAAGGGAAAGTATTATATGAGGACACTACACTTCATCTTTATATCCAAGGTGCACTCTCTGAGCCGCTCTGCATACCTGGTGCATTCCATCGTGTACTTTAAGGGCCCATTCACAGGGGTGCAGAGCCCTGTACAGTGTCCAGGAGACCCCTGAGTCCAAGGTCATGCGTCCTTCCCTGTATGCATGTATGCCCTCGGATGTGTGTACAGCTGCTGCTGGTGTCAGTCCATTGTCTGCGGCTGCATGGGGCACTTTACTCCCTGCCACATAAACAGGGGCCGTCTGCATGCTGTGCGGGGATCTGCGCCCCTGTCGCTGACCCCCAAAGAGGATCAGATGACAGGATCCGTCTGGTCCCTGTGATTGGACTTCCAGCCCAGATTGGATTATGGATTGATCTCAGCGACCTGTCCCTGTAAAGTCCCTTCCCTGGCTCAGTACAGCGATGGCATCTTCACAGGTCACGGTCAGGCCATCACATCGTCGGAGATGGTGCAATGATAGGGAGCGCCCGTCTGTTTGCATTAGGCTTGTATGCTAATATGGGTGTCAGCTTCCAGTACACTCCCAGCGGTGGAAGTGACTTGTCACCATGAATTAACATAATAATCAATAACTGCAACCGAAATGTTGTTTATATTTTGGTGAGTATGCTCCGCGCACCTTTGCAGCGCCCCCCCAATTCATATATATTAACAGGAGCTTGTAATACATATACTACATATCAGGGCCGCGTTTAGAAATCATGGGGTCCCATACGGTTTACCTGACAGCAGCCCCCCTCCCACACACACACACCTGTTTACCTGAAAGGGCCCACCCCCTTATTGAAATGCACATTTAGCAGGTGCCTGCACTGACATTTAAAGTTACATTAAACCCTCAGATTTCTTAACATAAAACAATACTGTAATGTGCGCCTTACTGTAATCCATGGTAGTTTCCCTTCTCTTTGCTGCTCTTCCTTTTAAATCTGTATCTGTTCTCATGCTGGGGGAGAACTTCCCTTTGCAGCAGACTGCCTTGTCTCAGGAATGGATACATGGTGTCTGTGTGAAGGTTCACAACCTGAGCCAGCACTACAGGAAGAGGCACTGAGCTGCAAAGGGAAGTTCTCCCCCAGCATGAGAAGACATGAGGATTTAAAAGGAAGAGCAGCAAAGAGAAGGGAAACAACCATGGATTACAGTAAGG